ACACACACACACACACACACAGGTTAATTGTGAGGAGGGGGGGGGGAGTCGTTAAATGGATATACTTCAAAGCATGTATTCCTTTGCATTCAGCAGCCAAACCAAGAATTTCCACTTCCTCTGACAAAACAACATGATTTGCACAGAAAGTAGGTCGCAGTGTGCTCACAATAAAAGAAAAATAATTGTTTCCGTGTTATATATACCTAAGCAATAAATATAACACATATACTAAGGAATACGTGGACGTATCATTCATAGGCGTTGCGCAACGTCTAATTCATCTGGGTCTCTTGGAGATATGGAGAGTGTTTAATAGAACAGCCAGTGATGGAAAAAAGAAATACAATACGAATAAAGATGTATCTCTTTAACCGACACTGAATCTTCTTTCTACACGAATCTTGGTGAATAAAGTGAAATCAATGCTAGACGACCTATTTGATATACATTGTGGTGCGCCGGGTGTTTATATATATATATATATATATATATATATATATATATATATATATATATATATAAGACTGAACGCTAACCCAGAGCAGAGGCCCACAGATGACTCTCTGGGTCAAATGATTAAGGCTGGGCTGGACTGAACTTCTTACCGTTGGCAGACAGACTCAGCCCCCCCCCCCCCCCCCCCCCGAAACACTTCAGTGCACTTCAATCAGTTGGGAGCCAGAGAGCCACTGGACGTACATGCACCCGCTTGAAGCCCGTCGCCGGGGCGAATCAAGGAGGTGCATGTTGGGTATGCATGATTCATCATGCGGCTGTGAGTAACTCGATATGCGAGAGCGGGATGGGGGGGGGGGGGTACTGCACCTTTAAAAGGTATATGGTGTTTTTTGTTCTGCATTGTACTCCTGTTTTTTAAATGTATTTTTTTGGAGGTTGGGTTTCAATGCCACTTAAAAGCAGAGGTAAAATGTGGGACACAGAGTCGAGGTGCATGTAACCGTTGCCCAGATGACCTCTGACCTGGAGGTGAACTCCCGGGCCTCCGGTCTGGTTGACTTACTTACTATACTTTCATCATGATTGATATATTCAACATGCTGTGTCAAAAACACAACACCTCAAGGCATAAGCTCGCTTTGGGAAATACCGGTTGCATTTGAAACGGCTTGCAATATTCAGCGTCGAGTATCTATTGATATACGCCGCGGCGCTGGTGCACACAACTTTTTATAACATGAAACATTGAAACACATCGATTGATTTGGTTTTGGTTTTCTTGTCTTCATTTACTTCTTGTCCATCTCTACTTTAAGTTAACGACCAAATGGCACCAGTTCATCGTTCCATGTGTACCAAGGTGGTGGTGGTGTTGGTGGATTCAGCAACAGTATAAGATAGGGCATGGTAGGTCTAATAAGCCATGTTCTTATAAGGTTGAGATAAAGAGGGTTTTTCTTCAGCCTGTAGGACTACAAAACCAACTGTAAAGTCTTTCTAGGGCAGGCACACAGGATAAATGGACAATAAAGGGTTCCCAGAAGACTGCCAAAACAGTAGGAATGTCTTTATTTGAGCCGCCAGAGCAATGTCATGGCTGCAGAGAGAGACTGGTCTGTGGTGAGGAGGAAAGGGGAGAAGAAAAAACAACCCACAGACGAAGCGCTGATTTTACGGTGGACATATTGTGTCAAACACTGCCCTCTGCAGGCCGCGCGGCGCAACAGCACCTCAATACGATGACTACAGTAGTGGATGTGTTGAGGATGCTCTCTCTACTGTGTGGGGTGTCAACACTTGTCATGACAGTTTACACATTTCATCTATCTTAATTAATTAATTGCATTGATAATTCTGAAAGAGGTTATCATCGCAGTTTGAAGTCTATTTAGGAAGCCTATTTCATAGGCCTACATATACGTACACACACATGTATTATATTATGTATAATGTGTCTTGGACAGGCATCATTTTCCATGTACTATTCATATTGATAGATATGCATATGATTGCTTTTCATTGCGTACATATAAACAGATAAATATTGTCAGTTGCTGACATCTAGTTGAAGAATAATGTAATGAATGATATAATGGATTATTATATTCCAGACCACTTATCTAATGCTTAATTTTACTTCACCATTGTTGAAATCTTTCCAAGAAATCAATACAAAGATGTAATAAAAAAACAAAAACAAAATAATACTAATGATAATATAAAAACAAAAAAAAAAGAAAGTATACCGTTATCAGATTTGATGAAAAGGCCTAAGAGCTGGCGTGCATTTGGCTGATTAATATTTCATATTGAGTTACAATTACTTTGATATGCCTCCAGTCAATAAATGAAAGTGGTGCTATTACACCAGCATCCATAATGGGATTTCGTGAGTTCTTAAAACCGAGTATTACTGTGCAGTGCCTTCACTAAGTCATCAAGGTCGAACTTACTTGCATATTATCCCCCACCTCGCTCTTTATTGAACTTCAGTCTCCTACAAAATAAATCATGAAGCCCAAAGAGGGGCAGATGAGGTGCAGGATAGTCTAGTCGGTGGTTAGAGGGCACTTGGCTCCCAGCCAAAAGGTTCTGGGTTCAAACCTGTCCGCCGTCTACCTGTCGGCAGTCTTGAGCAAGAGGCCTCACTGCTACTGGTATCCAAATTCACTCTCAGTCACTTTGGGCAAAAGCATCTGCTAAATAGTAAAGATAAATAAAACAATAAAAACAAACTCTATATTTGGGCAGTTCGAAGTGTGACAATAATACTCCAAAGTATATGGCATAAAAAAATGAAGGCAAAGGAAAATAATGAATACCGGTAGTACAATATCTACATGAGGTGGATATTGTACTATAGGCCTACAGGAGTAAGAAACGACGAGATATTAGATGTGGCTCTTAATAACGGTATACGACACACGTAACAGCTGTCTCTCGAACACTTAACGGTGGAATAGGAGAACATTACAATACGATTCATCATCTGAGAGTCTGTTCATGTGACCGGGACTGAAAAAAAAACCTGAGAGCTGAGCAGACGGTTACCCCATTAGCAGATGTAAACCGTGCGACCGTGTGCGCTGGAAATGCAATGTAATGTATTAAGTGTTCTTCTGTGATTGAATAATGCATCAGCATTAATTACAGCGATTTCCAACACTTTCAAATCACCCTGTACTCTGGCACTCTCCCTGTAATCAGACATAAGTTCTTTTTAATTTTTAATTTTTAATACTGAGGCCGATGGTCTCCATGGTTGGGTTTCAAAGCTGAGACTGAACTCAGTGGTAAGGTGCAGTTATACCTTAACACACACACCAGCCGACACATAGCTTACTTTTTAAAAACCTATCTGAATAAACAGTGAACCACTGCAACGTTGTGTGAGTGACGGCCTGTTTCCCACCGTGTATCCCTCCGACCCAGCAAACAGCGGCCTACCTGTCAATTAGGTGACGTCATAGCCACCTAATTGACAGAGGTAGGCCACTTCCGGTGGGTTACGGTTCTGTCCAAGTTTTCACTTTAACAATCCTGTCGCCAAGGCCTGTGTGTGATCCTACATCGCCCCTACTGTGAATAATGAGGAGTCTGTGTGTGTGTGTGTGTGTGTGTGTGTGTGTGTGTGTGTGTGTCTGTGTGTGTGTCTGTGTGCGCATGTGCGTGCGTGTGCAAGAGAGAGAGAGAGCAGGCCAGGTTGGGGGACCTTTTCAAAAGAGCTATTCTTTAATAAACACTGACAGGCCTTTTTAGAGGCCACTTACCATTCGTCTGGTCTATACCGGATTAAAACCTCACAGCCCCAAACTACACGGATTGAAATCCTCGCCCCCCCCCCCCCCCCCCCCCCCCCGCCAGGAGGGAGGGAGGGGGAAAAAAAAACAGAACAACAACCAGATCAATATTGCAGGATGGCGAGGATTCATTTTTCAAGGGATCCTGGCAACAACATGTAAAAAGCGTCTGCGAGGGGGGGGGGGGGGGGGGGGGGGGGGGGGGGGGGGGGGGGGGGGGGGGGGGGGGGGGGGGGG